CCTGTGTTAGCTTGAGGGGAGGTATAGGTCCTGTTGGCATATAGCTTTGGAATTGAGTTTGTTCAGTCCTGCAACTCACTTGCCCATCTGGCGATACCTATATTCAAGAGGATATATCCAGAACCCACCTCTCCTGGAAGAAAACCCAAGCTTCTAAAAAGCTCCAGAGACCAGTTCAGCAGCTTCCCTTGAAGTCACAGCTTGGGACTATACCATGTTTGGCCCCAGGTGGAGACAGGAAAATGAAGGTCTGGAGGGTCCGGAAGAATGTAGGTTTGGGGCCTGGAAGTGATTTACTACCCGTTAGGTTGGGTGTTTGTCCAGAATGAGACAGGCTTGTGCTGGTCTTTGTCCTATTGGTGTCTATTGTATATAACTCTCTTTAAATTGTTCCAATTAGCATTTCAACAATAGGGTCAGAATTTCAGATTCCATTTTATGCAGTTTGAAGCTTGGATTCTCTCCCATCACCTTGTTCCACATTCCTAATTCTATGAATAATGTTAAAACACAAAATTATAATAGATTCAGTTTAAAGGTCGAATTGGCTTTTATTTGTAATTCTAGAATCAGGCAATATCTTTCTCAATATCTTTCTAGGAGGTAGAATAACTGTTCCATTGAGCTGAGCAGAGAATTGTTTTTCTAGGCAGAAAAGAGTTGAAGAAAGCAAAAACAGAATTAAAAAGCAGATGAATCATTTCAAAAGTTACTTTCCTTATGGGGTTTAGACAAAGGGGACTCCCATGTAATGCTGACTTGGGTGGACTTGGAGTCCTCCTGTGTTTTCGGAAATCTGGACATTTCAAAGTTCAGTTGCATCATGTAGTGTTAAGCACAAGTGAGTCCATTTTAGATTGGCCTGGTCTGCTGGGGCTTGGTGCAGAGAGCTAATTCAAAACAATGGACTCTCATAAACTCTGTTTAAAGAATGATCATATGGGGCTGGGGATGTGGCTCAAGCGGTAGCGCGCTCGCCTGGCATGCGTGCGACCCGGGTTCGATCCTCAGCACCACATACAAACAAAGATGTTGTGTCCGCCAATAACTAAAAAAAAAAAGAAATAAATATTAAAAAAAAATCTATCTCTCTCTCTCTTCCCATCTCTCTCTCTCTCTAAAAAAAAAAGAATGATCATACTCTTTCTCCCATAGAAGGTTAGAGAAAACAAGTTTCATCCACTGGCCTTTCAGGAAATCTTGGGTGAGGATTTATCTTAAGAAAAATCCATCTCATTCTGCTCTGGGCTTTGATAGAAAAAGACTGTCAACAGAAGCAAGCCTGTTTCTCAAGAAAAATTTTGGTGCTATAGACAAGAAACCCCAAAGGCCCTCCTTCCAGCTAGAATGAGACCCTGTACCTACCACCAGACCTCTAAGACACCATGCTTCCTCAGTAAGCAGCACAGAATACCTATATCCAAGCATCTTTGGCCTTGAACAAATTCTGACCAGCTCCTGTCAAGTTCATATCAGGATGAATTAACATCTGCAAAACACTGTGGACTTGACCAGTGGTAGTCAATGAGGACCTTTTGACTAATCCAAAGTGATAAACCAGCTGTGATGACAATGTAGCACGTTTTTCATATTGCTAGATTTATTCAATTTGAAGGACGGTGGGATTGTTTTTACTGACATTTTGGCATTACAGATCTTTTTATTAAAGGATACAGGTGATTAGTTTATTTTGAATATTCTTGTCAAAACAAAAAGTTGGCAGCCTTATATTGGTCCCATCCATTTTAGGGGGAAGTTTGGCTGCTTGGTGAAGCACTCAGGTTTGGGAACCAGTGATTCAAGTGTCTGAGGTGCCACTATTCTCCAGAGCTTTCTCAACCTCAGCACCATTGGCACCTGGAGCTAGCTATGTGTGTGTTGTGGGTCGCTGCCTGGGCATTTTAGGATGCTTAGCAGTATCATTGGCAGCTACTTACTAGATGCTGGTAGAAAGCCACCCAATTCAGATGCTACAACTGAAAATTTCTACAAATGTTAACAAATGTCTTTATTGCTTGAGGTCCATGGAGGGTATGGGTACAAATAGGTCCCCATCCCAAACTCAACTGAGAACCACTGGTCTAGAGCAATATTTTTCAAACTATGGTTTCAACCTCTTAATGTATTGTGAACTTCAATTTAGAGAATTACTAGAAACATTAAAAATGAGAAAGGAGATGAGAAAGAACAGTCTTTTCAGTAACGCAAAACTGGATATCCACATGCAGAAGAACAATACTAGACCCCTATCACTCACCAGTGGCAAAAGTCAACTCAAAATGGATTTAACATTTAAATGTAACACAAGAAACTTCTAGAAGAAAACAGGGGAAACATTTCAGGACATTGAAATGGACAAAGTTTTTTTTTTTTTTTTTTTTTTTTGACAAGACTCCAAAAACACAGGAAACAGAAGCAAATGTAGACAAATAGGATTACACCAAACTAAAAAGCTTCTACACAGCAATGGAAACAAACAGATGATGAGACAACCCACAAAATGGGAGAAAATACTTGCCAACTAAACCTCTAAGAAAGGTTACTATCCAGAGTATAAAAAGAGCTTTAAAAAAACTCAATAACAAAGAAACAAATAGTCTGATTTAGAAAATGGGTAATAGATCTAAACAGAATTTCTCAAAAGAAGACATACACATGGCTAACAGATATATGACAAAATGTTCCATCTCATGAATGAATCCCTAATGGGAGACCAGGAAGGCAGAGGATACGTCCTCAGATGTAGGTGGGGAGAATCAGTGACAACAAAGATGGGGTTTTTGGTGTCACAGCACCACACAGAGATGGAAGAAATCCTGAATTGACCAAGATCAAGGTTTGCCCATCTGGCCCAATAAGAGCTTGGAAAAGAAATTAAGTTCACTTATGGAAAAAATAAAGTTGTAATTGTTGGGTACTAGATTTTGAAGCCTGGTTAGTATTCACTAGACACAGATATTCATAATGCTTCATAGCATATAAGGACTTTTTCCTTTATTTTAAAATTTTAATTCTTATTAAAAAGTGAAAAGATATTGTTATTTTTCTTGTAATCATTTTACAAATGTGAAAATGAAAACATGGAAAAGTTAAGTGACCTTCCTAAGGTCACACAGCTAGGACCTGGCTTAGCAATGACTCAGATCCATGACTCTTCATTCTACCACTTTTGGTTGTTGATGTTCAGAACTCTTCACTAAGGACTTAAGTGAAAGCTCCCTGTTAGTTCTCATAAAATGTTGTTAGGTTACTCAAAACCTTTTAGCGTTTGCAATCTGATGCTCAAATAAGAGGATAGAAGAAGGCTCCCGTGCTGGCACTCTGCCTGCTGTGCCACCTCGGGCCTCCGGGCTGTGGGTTCCATGGCAGTACTCTGCTCTCATGCTGAGGTGGGAGCCAAGGCAGGAATGAGTTGAGAGCTCAGGACCCAAAGAGCATGGGATGAGAGTCTCATGACTTGGGTGCTGGGTGCTTCCACACTCACCACATTGTAGACTTTTCTTATTTCATTGCCTCTGCTTCTGACCAGACTGTAAGTAACTGAAGGTAGGGACTCCGTCAGGTTTGCTCCTGTTACATCCCCTGCACTACGCAAAATATCAGGCAAGTTGTGGTATCTTAGTTCATTTTCTGTTGCTGTAACAGAATATCCATGACTGGGTAATTTATAAAGGAAAGAAGTCTGTTTAACTCATAGTTCTGGAGGCTGGGAGTCCAAGATCAAGTGAATGCATTGGCATTGGTCTCATGCTGCATAACAGCATAAAAGCAGAAGGGAATTGAGAGGAAAAACTCCAAAGGCAGCTTTGCCTTTACATCAGTTTGCTCTCTAGGAAACTAATCCAGTCCCTTGAGGTTGAGAATTCACTCACTGCTAGGAGAGAAGCATTAATCCCTCTTCATGAGGACTTACCTCCCAGTGTTGCCACGGTGACTATCAGATTCCAATTTGAATTTTGGAAAAGATAAACAAACCATAGCAATGTAGATCCTTAAAAATATTTGCTGAATGAACAAATTGGTGGATGGATGAATTCTTGGTGTCTCTTACACATTTCTAATCATGTATGCCTTAATAGAAGCCCCTCTGCCTTGGGATTGAACCCAAGGGTGCCCTCCTGAGCTACATCCCCAGGCCTTTCCCTCCTCCCCCTCTATTTTTAGACAGGATGTCACTAAATTGCTGAGGCTGTCCTTGAACTTGATATCTTCCTGCCTCAGCTTCCCCAGTAGCTCAAATTACAGACATAAAACTACACAGAGCAACAGGGCCCCTTCAGCGGGAGGCTTGGTCTTAGCTTCCTTTATTTTACCTAACAAAGTTTTATGAAAATAGCAATTTCTAGTGGCAGCCAGGACACACCTCCTTTTCATTCATTATCCCAAGTTCCTCCTTTTTCATTATTCCTAGCAGCTCTTTTGGTCAGGATGTTTGGAATATTTTTTCCTCTCTTCCATGTACACGTACATTTTAAGATTATTATTTTTCTTTTTTGCTTATGTTTAATTGTCAGCTTTCTCTAGATGTTCTTTAGAAGCAAGGAGCAAGGGTTATAAATCAATATGAGAAGATACTTTGCTATCTCATTTTGGAAAAAATATAATTAAAATTCATGGTAGAAAGAATTTCTAAAGTGGCAAGTTGCCTCTCCAAGATATTACCATGTCTTATTTTAGAATTTACTGTCGGTAACTAATCTACATTATTAAATAAGATTCAGTTCATTTGAGTTGCTGAATAATTACTGTGTTGGATAAGTAGTGCTTTTTCGATATTATTAGTTTTATCACATATGCTAAGTTGCTTTTTGGAAGTAGCCTCAGCATTACTTGAAAAGAGATGGAAAATACTTTATTTGTCACAAATTCAATAAATTTGCAATTAAAATTATGCCACAAATATGGTAAAATTTCACTGGATAACTTAAAAAAATTTTAGTGCAATGCATGATAAATAAGACTTATCCTTTAATGGACTCCTAATTTTTTTTTTTCTTAAGGCAACATGACAGAGAAGCTTTTCCCAAAGATTATGATATAGAGGGTCCTGATAAAATAAAAAGACTGTGTGCTTCAACATATTGTCGATTTGGAACTGAGGAACCTCCAGTAAGTAGTTGCTGCTAATTTCTTTAAGTCTTGTATCTTTCTCATAGTGAAACATGAAAATATAAGGGAAGGAATATTTTTTTTTAGCTCTACCTCTAATCAACAAGATTAGCAGCTTAGGTTGGTGACTTAGACACTGTGCTTCAGCAAAATTACCTATACAGATGCACCTAATTCATAAGGTTTGGGGGGAATTAAATGAAATAAGTAAAGTACTTAAAATAGTGCCTGACTATATTAGTTACTTTTCTGTCACTATGATGAAGTACCTGACACAGGCTATGTATGAAGTAAAGAGGTTTATTTGGCTTATGGTTCTGGAGGTTTTAAGATTAAAATCAGGTAAATCCATTGATTTGGACCTGTGATGAGGTTGGGAGTATATGTTAGGTCAAGCAGTCACCTTTTGAGTCAGGAAGCAGAGAGAAACTGAAGTGGCACCCCCTTTCTCCACAGAAAAGTCTTAACTGGGCTTCTCCAGAAATCTTCACCATGGCTGACTTTAGGACTGTCAGCAAAAGAGTCTCTGCAAAAGAGTTCAATGTAGATAAACTTCCTAATTTCATGTTGCCCTGACTTACTTGGCCACTGGCTGGGAAGATACCAGCACTCCAGGTGCTGAACACCCCTTACTAGTTTTTCACAAACATATCCAGTATAGTAGTTTGTAAAAATGTGCAAACAAGGCCTCTGGCCTTGAGCTGGGTTTCACAGAGATGTCTACATTTTTAAGATAAGTTATCAGTTAGGCTCCATGGTAACAGCTGGCAGGGGGAGGAAAAGGGGAGAAGAAGCTCTCCCCTTCTCAGGTGTTGTCCTTGAACGGTTAACTTGTCCAAAATAGTAAAAGAAAAAAGCTGCTTTTATGTGAACTTCTGCAGACTGTGACTTTAGAACCCCTTCCCTTACATGCTGGGTATAAAACTCTGAAACTACCTGAACTTGGGATTCAGGGAATTAATTGATTACAGCAAAAGCTGTGCCCTTTGAGCCTGGCTGCAGCTAAATAAAACTCTTTCCTGCTATCTTCGGTGCCTTGAACTTGCCTCATTTGTCCCTACAACAAAACTGTTATGGGATGGATCTTAAATGCCCCCTAAAGAGTTCATGTGTTTGGTCCCCAGCTGGTGGTACTAGTGGGAGGTGGTAGAAACTTAAGGAGGTGAGCCTTATTGGAGGAAGTAGGTTACTAGAGGCATGGCTTGAAAAGTATATTGGGACTCTGGTCCTTTCTTTTTTTGTGGGGGAGGGTATTGGGGCTTGTACTCAGGGGCACTCAACCACTGAACCACATCCCCAGACCTATTTTTTTGTATAATATTTAGAGACAGGGTCTCACTGAGTTGCTTAGTGCCTCGCCTTTGCTGAGGTTGGGTTTGAACTTGCAATCCTCCTTCTTTCTCTTCTTTTGCTATCCTGCTGGGCTGCTATGAGGTGAACTGCTTTTCTCTGCCATACACTTCCCACTGTGATATTCTGCCTTGCCTTGGGCCCAAAGTAACAGGGCTGAGTGACCAGGGACTGAAATCTCTGAAATTGTGAGCCAAAACAAAATTTTTCTCCTTTTAATTTTTTCTCAGGTATATTGTTACAGAAAGGGAAAGCTAACTGACATGAGACTGAAAGGCTGGGGTTCTTCAATCCCTGTTTCTTCTTCCTCCCCTCCCCTCTCCCCCTCCCTCCCCTCCCTCCCCCTCCCTCCCCTCTCCTCCTCCCTTCCCTCCCTCCCCCTACCTCTCCCTCCCTCCCCTCTCCCCCTCCCTTTTCTCTCTTTCCCTACCTCTCTCTCTTTCTTTCTTTTTCTTTTCTTGTTACTGGGGATTGAACCCAGAAGCTCTTAACCACTGAGCCACATCCCTAGCCCTTTTTATTTTTTGAGACAGGGTCTTACTAAGTTGCTGAGGCTGGCTTTGAATACCCCTGTCCCTTCTGATGGCATTCCACCAATGACTAGGCCCTCCTCTTAAAGATCCCCAGTGCGTCCCAGTACTGCCATCTTGGGGATGGAGCACTTAACACATAGGCCTTTGAGGGATATTCAGTATCCAAAATACAGCACTGGCACGTAGCAAGTGCTCAAGAAATTGTTATTATTATTTTGATACTGATATTGCTTCAAAAGCATCTTGCTGGCTGCATTCTTTGCCCTCCATAATAATCCTGTGAAGTGGCACTGTCATCTCTTATTTTATAGAGGAGAGGAAGGAGACTCCTAGATGTTAAGCAACTTAAAGCCAACACAGGTAGGGACTGGAAAAACAGGAGTTTGAACACAAGTCTTTGATCTTAAATCATTTGTACTTGTCTCAAGGTAGTGAAGTTGCAAGAAATTAAAACATACTATTGATATTCTGATAATATCTTTAAGGTCCATTTACAAAAAAGCACATGCATTGCTAAGCAATTCCTGTTTGAATTGCTGTGAGTGAGTTACTGCTTGGTTACTTGTATGAGGCAAGAGCTCAGCTTCTGAAAGACCCCCAAATTGCCTTCTATAATGCCAGAAGCTATGGAGCTAGATGAAGACAGACTGGGTTTTATATCATTGTCTGCCCCCGAAGGCTGGGCTACTCTCAGATCAGCTTTTGAAGTAGCGCTGGCCTAAGAATATCCATTTTTCAACACTGGAAATTGTTCTAGAAGATACTTTGTTTTCCAGGGTGAGAGGAATGAATTTGCTTATTGTGGCAGTAGTGTTTCCTCCCTTTCTCTTATAGTTAGAATGGACAGAGAATGGTAAGAACAACCTGAAAAATAGGGATTTATTATAAAGTTATAGCTGCCCAGATATAGAACAAGGAAATTTATCAAAACCAAGAGAGCTCTAAAGCAAGACATTTTCCTCGACACTCTACTTTCTTGGACACATACACAAACACACTGTCTTTCTTGGAATCTTTATCCGTGCTCAGGATTTTCTCTTGCCCTGAGGCCTAAATCTCAGGAGCAATCTGAGATTTGTCAGTTTCCACCCAACTTTCTTTCCCTTTGCACCAAGCTGCCTTGCTGGTCATTAGCTAGCATGTGAAGTGTGATGCTCAACTTAGTCAAGAGCCACCCTGCTTCACTCCTGCCCCTCTAAACCCATGCGTTCTTGAGTGTGGGGCTGTGAGCAAACAAAGAGAAAGCTGGCAAGATAGGCATTGTCTGACATGTAATTAGGGTCTTTGGCCTTTAAAAATATTTATTTTTGCCAGGCGTGGTGGAGCCTGGCAAAAGGTGTTGTTATCTCAGTGTCTTGGGGAGGCTGAGGCAGGAGGGTCTCAAGTTCAAAGCCAGCCTCAACAGTTTAGCTAACAAGGCTGTAAGCAACTTAGTGAGACCCTATCTCAAGATAAAATATAAAAAAGTCTGGGGATGCAGGTGAGTGGTAAAGTGCCCCTGGGTTCAATTCCCTGTGCCAAAAAACAAACAGCCCCCACCCCTGCAAGACAAACAAACAAACAAAAACATTTATTTTTGATTTCCACCTGGCTTCTGGGTTGTGGGAGAAAGTGAGATGAAGTGAAGTGTTGAAACCTCAAATATTTCTTCTCCTAGATTTCTATGCATTATAGTAGTCAAGCACTGTGTTTTTAGGAAGATGCATCAGTAGAGAGTAATGTTTACTTTTTCCATGTCTTTTTGTTGATGCCCATGAAAATCATGTCCTTCCTCTACCAGGTTTAGAATATGTATTAGAGAGGAAGGGAATAGATCAAAGATGGACTGCTTCAGATAAAATTGCTATTTTTGTATCTTAACAATAAGTTACATTTTTCTCTAATTGTGCATTAAGTACTGTTCCATCCATCTTCGTTCTTGTTCTTTGCATCCGGGCTCTAAAATTGGCAAGAAAGATATTATTCTTCCAGTGCTAAACCTAGACTATCAGATCTTATCCAAGTCCCAAGGGTACAGAGAAGGAGGGGGGATACAGGTTTGGGATCTCCAGGCCTTCATATGATGGATGGTGAGTCCTTTTCCCTATCACAAGTTCTGATAGAGGCCTACAGACTAGAACATTCATGATAGTTGACAGGAACCACACATCTAAAAGCAAGAAGCTGAACTACGTAGGCAGAAACTCCTGAGAGACTATCAGCGGGGTTAAACCAGTACTTAGCTGTTATGTTCTTGAAGGCTAGGTAGCAGCTGAAGAGTTGAAACAGGATTTATTTAATTTTGGGTTTCATTCCCTTCTTTCCCATCTGAGAAGAGTTTTCAGGGGAGATATTATTGTGAGTCCTAAAATTTAGAGGACATTAGAAAGAGAGGTCAAGAGAGTCAGGGCCACTTAACATCTGGGCCCACATATCCATATATACATATACATATATGTATACACACACATTTGATTAATATTTGTCAATTAAAAATAAAACAAAACTTTAAAAAGAATAGTTAAGCTCATGTGGATCATATGTGGGCCATGAGGAAGAGAAAGAGACCAGGGAACAGTTTCACAGCTTGCTTTCATTGTATGTGGGAGGAGGAGTGAATGGACTTCCAGGGTTTGAGGTTGGATATTTAAGTCCTACCAGAAGCATCCTGTGTGATGGAATATGCCATTGAATCCTCCCAGAGAGTATGCCAAAGTCTATCAGAACATCCCAGGGAAGCCAGTTTCTATCAGTGTCAGGAAGGATCAAACAGAAACATGCCCACAGGAAATCAAATCAAGATTGCATTCTGCCCTGACTGTATCCATCTCTTCTTCCTCATAACCCCACACTCTTGGCATCATTCCCCCAAGGAGACAGTGGGAGGTGAGAGTAGGGAAGAATTCCAAGAGGGACAATTGAAAAGAAGCCAACTATGCTCCCTATTCCCATTACAGTAGGCCAAGCCAGAGCAGGCCCAAGGTAGAGGAATGAGAATCTTCAGCTTTAAATGAAGTTTGAAGTTTTGAGTATGACATGAGACTAGGCATTCTACTTACCTTCATGAGACTCTTCTTGGACTAAAGCAGCCAGAGAATTTTTCCCATTATCTGAAGGTAACCATAACATTCCTGGGGG